CACCACCTCTGCTCCTCCATCTAAAAGCACCACCTCTGCTCCTCCATCTAAAAGCACCACCTCTGCTCCTCCATCTAAAAGCACCACCTCTGCTCCTCCATCTAAAAGCACCACCTCTGCTCCTCCAGCTCAAAGTAGAAAGCTGGCATCAGGCCTCGCTCAGCTGGAGCTCTTTGGATTTAGAAGTGTCAATAAGAATAAGTGAAGCATATAGGAACATATGGGACACATTTCTTGAGTTGTAATGTTTAAAAAAAAAATCCTTTTAAGATGTTGCCAGATCCATTTGTTGTAATTTCACATCAAAATACACAGTTTTAAATGTATATCTTCATAGAATTTGTTTATACAATAATATATTGTAATTAAATGTATAATAATTTACAACATGTGATACATTTTCATGAGAACATTTCCAGTCAAATCTTTTGTTGCTTTAACCTCTGTGGAACGTAGCTTTCTGTTTGTTGATAATGTTTCCACATCACGTTTAAAATTGAGTCATTATGTTGTCTTTCGAGAATGAAAAAAAGATTGCTCTCTGACTAAAGTTTGTGGGATCAATGAGAAAACTACTCTGGGCATGTGTATGAAGGGAAATAACCCTGTAATTGTGGATGTTTAAAGCATAGAAAAGTCAAAAAGCTTAATGTGGGACCTTTAATAAATACTGTCTCTGCCTGTCAAGACCTGTGTGTCTTTTTACTTTCTCCCCTTTTGCTCACAGGCACTGCTGGTCTTATCTCTATTGGATATTATCTAGCCCCTATATAGCACCTGGTTACACTTGATTCAGTGGACAAAGGAACTTGTTCTGGGTCCAATTATCCTCCCAAATCAAACCACTCATGAAAGAAATGAGATTATACAGGACAACACAACTTGAAACAGAGCTGTGAAGGAGTTCCTGAAGTTCCTCAGAGAAACAGTGAATAACTTCACACTTCTTGAAAGTGTTGATTGAATAGTTTTGTTTTAAGAAGTACTGCAGTACTCATCACTTGCCTTGATGAAGACCCGAGAGGGGTCAAAATGTCCCACGATGTCCCACAATGTCCCACAATAAATGATGTGTAAGTCTGAGTGTCGTGGACCTTTTCCTCTTCTGTTTTCTCCAATGCTGTAATCATGTTTACATACAAGAAGACATGTTTTTCGTAAACTTTTTTATTTTTATCTATACCTATCTTTGTACACAACACAGTTCCCAATTGAGGTTTTGTCACATTCACTTAATGAAGAGATGCAGAAATCTCAGTGGTAACATTCACATTATGGAATTCTGATTTCTTTTATAATTTTTGCTGTAAAGACGTACAATGGGTCTGCACTTTATTCTCTTCATTCTCTTTGGCTGGAGGACCTCCAGGAGGTGACTGAAACAGCCTCTCCCGGGTCCCCCGTATGATCCCACATCTACCACAGTCTGTGTTCACAAAAGTTGGACCTTTAAGTTGGCCCTGGTTACACTGTCAGAAACCGGATCCCTTGCCTATTCTCATAATAATTGAATTTATCAATACACGTGTAAACTTGTGCGCTGCAATTGAGGAGTGGAATTAGAGTCCACTTGGTCATCCAACAGCTTCTATTCCCGTTATTCTGGGAAGCAATACGGGTCATATGAGTCATGAAATACATATTTCATTACTCATTGAAATGGCACTTTTCATGGCACTTTTTACAGTGCCATGAATACAGTCCTGCACTGGTTTCTTTGTTTTGTTTTGGCTTCATTTCATGAAACAAAAGCAGGAACATGGTGTAATTAATTGATGTAGAGTTTATGTATGCCCAAAATCTACAGTATATATGATAACAATTATATTTACAACGTTTACTGTTCCAAAAGTACGAGTGCTAAGGTACATGCTTTGGAAAAAGGTAAAAGTACAACAGCCAGACTCACATTGACTTGGAGATCACTTTTATTCAGATAACCGCCACTCTCATCTCAACAGGTCCAAACATGATACGACACAATAATGATATCACCATCCGGACCTGTAGCCTGAGCACTTTCTGTTTCACATTATCACAACTCATTCATTTGATTTTTGGACTGTCGACGTTTTAACATCCATGTTGTCTTATAATATAATTAGAGCTGTCGATTAAATTATATTTTAAAAATCTGGTTAATCACATATCGTGGTGATTTTAATTTCAGTGTTTAAACATAACATTTCAGATACACAATCGACAGGTGATGACACTGAGTGTGTAAATCCACAGGGTTTTGTAGATCAAAGCCTTCACAGTGGAAGAGCCTCTTCACAGACATAAGCTCCATGTCTCCATTAGTCTAGCCTTGCAATCGCACTGCTCAGATGTGTCTAAACATGAGAGTCATCTCTGATTAAGCCATGATTATTGTGGTTTCTTTTTTTTAATTGATTGCAAGTTTAGAAGTTTGACAACCCTAATATAATAATATCCACCAGGTGTTGTTTGGCATGAGACTTGTTTGGCATGAGACTTGATTGGCATGAGACTTGATTGGCATGAGACTTGATTGGCATGAGACTTGATTGGCATGAGACTTGATTGGCATGAGACTTAATTGGCATGAGACTTGATTGGCATGAGACTTGATTGGCATGAGACTTGATTGGCATAGGGTTTGAATTCCTGCACGGACGGTTGGCCTATTCATCGCCGGTTATGGTGTTAGGGTTAGTTGACTCCTTTGATTGTATAGATCCAAATTATATCCCCCAAGTGAACCAGGGTTGGTCCATCTGAAAAGTTTCTTACTTAACGGGCCTCATGTATGAAACTAGCGTACGGACAAATCCAGGTGTAAATGAGGCGTAACAATGTACACTTTTCGGCATTTATCAATCTGGACGTGAGCGTACGGTACGCACAAAATATTCACCGACTCTGGAGGTGGTGCACATTTTACACCCATCTCAACACGCAAATAACACGCATGAAATTCAAGATTTGGACAAAAATAAACATGTTCCCACATATTTAGTTTTTTGAGCCCCATGATGCCACTTATGAGGATTTTGTGCATAAAGCCCAAAAAAAACGGGCTCATCCACTGCCCTGTTCTCCGCAGCAGAGATAGGATGCAACGCACATGTGGGAACTGGTTCATTCATTCATTCATTTATTATTTATTTATTTACTTCTAAATCTCGGGAGAGACAAGTGCTGCAGTGGGTCTAGACACTAGGGGAAAAACATGTGTGTATATATATATATTTTTTAAAAACGTGAATAAACTCAGAAGTGCCAAAGGCTTTTGGAGGCTTCCAAACAGTCTTAGCCGACTTCCTGCTGACCTGTTGCAAAAACAGGGCGTGGAACAGGCAGTTTCTGAATATTTCTAGGCGTGACTTTCATAGATCGGCACGGTGGCTGAGTGGATAGCACTCTCGCCTCTCAGCAAGAAGGTCCTGGGTTCGAATCCCAGTCGGACCAGGGCCTTTCTGAGTGGAGTGTGCATGTTCTCCCCGTGTCTGCGTAGGTTTCCTCCGGGTACTCCGGTTTCCACTACCACTAAAAATATGTCCAATAGTTCTAGCATGCGCCTCCTGTACTGGCCCCTCCCATCTCTGTGTGGAGTGAGAGACAAATGCCCAAAAATTAACAATTAAACCGCTTTGAGACTCAGATCTGCAGTGAAAAGGCGGTATATAAATAAAGATTACTACTACTACTTACTTACTAGATACGCTGGTTTCGAGCGCGGCATTTATCAACAGCCGCAGGTGCGTACGCTCAGATCTGTGCCTCACATGTTCATAAACGCCACGTTGGATCTGGAATCTTCACCCAAATTGTTCACCTTTTTCTGCTCAAGTTTCATAAATGAGGCCCATTGTGAGCATAATGGACTGGACACACAAAGGTCGGTCAAAACACACAAAGAGATGACAGTTTAATGACATCATTAGTCCCTCATTGAGCTCCAAAATGAGCCAAACTGGTTTGTGCTGCTTTGTGCAAAACTAAAACTAAAGCTTGTGCTATTTTTCAATGAAAAAAACAACATTGATTTATAATTAAAAAAAACACACATACTTAACATAGGACATGTGTATAAATGTACATACATATATAGGTAAACAAAAACTAGCACAAACAAAGCACTGTCGGAAAAAAAGAACTGTTTCATGTAAAATATAAAAACATAAAACTAAAGCAGCACAAACAGAACACAGTATTATAGTTTTTGTGTGCGATGACGGGCCAACATTACAGAGGTACAAAAGGGACCGGCAATAATGTTCCATAAGAAATGATGCAGCAAAGTCCTCACTCGTGAAGAGCCCAGAAGACAACATTCCTTCATGAAAGCACTCAGATCATCATCTGTGTGAGTGAAGCAGCCCCACAGAGCAGCGTGTTGTAAACATGTGCGTGATCTAAATCATATGTGTCATAAATAAGTATGTACACTGTCCTGGTCCTGTTAGTGCTCAGCCACATGTGTTAGTTTAGACATGTTTGTGTTCACAAGAGTGCTCTTATATTTCTGCAGGAAACACACTGTTCACATCTAAAGAACATTTATGTCATTTGTGTTAATTTAGCCTTAGAATGTTTATATTGGCTGTTATAAAGTAAAATAATTGAATAAGGCTTTTCAAGACTCTGTTCTACAGACAATCGATAGGAAAACATCTACATGATTTTGTTATTGATGAAAATCTGTGTCACTTTTTAGATGCTTTGGGCTGAGAGCTGAGTGAGGACGGTCCTTCTCTTTTACTATAGTGATAGAACCAAACTGTTTTAAAGCCATAAACTTATTACATGGATTTTTATTATTATTACAAGCTCAATTTGGGGAATCCATGGGTTTCAAAATAATGAGAACTGTTACAACAAAATACTAGACTTTATCATTCAGAATGTGAACAGTCCTCAACAAAGTGGTGGCTGAAATGCAAAGGACATTTTTAACAGTGTATGTGAAATGTACATAGGTCTGTAGTGAATGCATAAGCAGTAGTGCCGGTGGAAAAGGTACATCACAGGGGTTAGGAGAGAAGGGCCAGGCTGTGGAGCAGGGACAGGGCTGTGCCGGTACTCAGCAGAGGGGCCAGTGGAGAGGGAGCATTCTGGCTGTTCACCGCTGCAACGCATGAACAACAGTCAATATACAACAACACAATGCATAGTAATGTCAGCTTCTACCACATATATAAGACCAACTTTATCACAATATACCTGGAATTTACCTAATCTAGCAACAGGTAGGAGCGAGATTGGTACAGCACAATTTAAAAATACTTTAAAGATGTATCAATCTCGCTCCTACTTGTTGCAAGATTGGTACATCTTTAAAGTATTTTTTAATTGTGTTGTAAACAAACAGACATTGGGCCTAATTCACCGATATCTTCTTAAGGATCTTAGACGTCTCATGTCGTTCTTAAGTAGATTTCTAAGAAGACCCCACGTGGGATTCATCAACGCGTTCTCAAGCCCCTGAAATGTTCGCAGCTGTTCTCTTAGATAGATTAAGGCCATCTCCTCGTAAGTAGAGCTCGTGTGCCGGGTGAGGCATTAGCATAGGTACTTAGCATAGGTACCAGCAACATGCCTAAAGAGTTACGACTGAGCATAAGGGTCACCAGTTTTTTCTGGTTTTCACCAGACTGAGAATAAATTCATAATATTTTGACTTTAGTCAAAATATTTTTGACTTTAGTCAAAATATTATGAGATTAATCTCAAATAATTTTGGACCCTGGGAGGAGATCCGGCTCCCCCAGGGAGAGACCCTAGACTGGAGAGACCAGCACGGAGAGACCAGATCAGCGAGACCAGCGCTGACCTGAGGAGAGACCAGATCAGAGAGACCAGATCAAAGAGACCAGATCAGAGAGACCAGCGCGGAGAGACCAGATCAGAGAGACCAGCGCGGCGAGACCAGATTGGACAGACCAGCACGGAGAGACCAGCGCTGACCTGAGGAGAGACCCTAGACTGGAGAGACCAGCGCGGAGAGACCAGATCGGAGAGACCAGATCAGAGAGACCAGATCGGAGAGACCAGCGCTGACCTGAGGAGAGACCCTAGACTGGAGAGACCAGCGCGGAGAGACCAGATCGGAGAGACCAGATCGGAGAGACCAGCGCTGACCTGAGGAGAGACCAGATCAGAGAGACCAGATCAGAGAGACCAGATCAGAGAGACCAGCGCGGAGAGACCAGCGCGGAGAGACCAGCGCGGAGAGACCAGATCAGAGAGACCAGCGCGGAGAGACCAGATCAGAGAGACCAGCGTGGAGAGACCAGATCGGAGAGACCAGCGTGGAGAGACCAGATCGGAGAGACCAGCGTGGAGAGACCAGATCGGAGAGACCAGCGCAGACTAGGGCTGGGATAAACGATTATTTTTGAAACAATTAATCAAGCGATTATTTTTTCATTGCGACGATTAATCTAACAACAATTTTTTTCAGTTCGATTCGATTATCAATTATCTCCCCATTAATTGACTAATATCAATGGATACATGTTGATTTACATATCTGAATTTCTGAATCATAAATTCCGTAACAAAATATATTTATTTCTCTTAAAATTCTAAAATGACTTTCTTAGTCAGAGGTAGCATAAAACCTTGAAGCCTTGAAAACACATCTAGCTTATTGAAAAAAGTGCATCTTAATATTCTTCTTTCAGATGAAAATAACACTTGATGTTTAGTTAATTTTTTACCTCAGAATTCTACACACAACACCCCATAATGACAACATGAAAAAAGTTTTTTTGAAATTCTTGCAAATGTATTAAAAATAAAAAACTAAGAAAGCTCATGTACATAAGTATTCACAGCCTTTGCTTAAGACTTTGTTGATGCACCTTTGGAGCAATTACAGCCTCAAGTCTTTGTGACTATGATGCCACAAGCTTGGCACATTGTCTTTGGGCAGTTTTGGCCGATTCCTCTTTGCAGCATCTCTCAAGCTCCATCCAGTTGGATGGGGAGTGTCGGTGCACAGCCATTTTAATAATAATAATGATGATGCATAGGTTTTATATAGCGCTTTTTTGGACACTCAAAGACGCTTCACATGTGTCATTATTCATTCACTCCATACACGGTGGTGATAAACTACTACTGTAGCCACAGCTGCCCTGGGGCACACTGACAGAAGCGAGGCAACCAGTATGCGCCATCGGCCCCTCCGACCACCACCAACCATTCACACACACTAGACTCATTCTAGGCAATGGGGGTGAAGTGTCTTGCCTAAGGACACAACGGCAGTTTGGCACTTTACAGCTGCCCCACTGTGGCTGGTGTTCCCAGAGTCGATGGTGAAAGTCTACCAACTGAGCTACTGCCGTCTCTAGATTTTCAGATCTCTCCAGAGATGTTCAGTTGGATTCAAGTCTGGGCTCTGGGCCACTCAAGGACATTCACAGAGTTGTCCTGAAGCCACTTCTTTGTTATCGTGGCTGTGCTTAGGGTCGTTGTCCTGCTGAAAGATGAACCGTCGCCCCAGTCTGAGGTCAGGAGCTCTGGAGCAGGTTTTCATCCAGGATGTCTCTGTACATTTCTGCATTCATCTTTCCCTCTATCTTGACTTGTCTCCCAGTTCCTGCCGCTGAAAAACATCCCCACAGCATGATGCTACCACCCCCATGCTTCACTGTAGGGATGGTATTGGCTCGGTGATGAGCAGGGCCTGGTTTCCTCCAAACATGACGCCTGGCATTCACGCCAAAGAGTTCAATCTTTATCTCATCAGACCAGAGAATGTTTTTACTGATGGTCAGAGAGTCCTTCAGGAGCCTTTTGGCAAACTCCAAACTAAGGAGCGGCTTCCGTCGGGCCACTCTACCACACAGGCCTGATTTGTGGATTGCTGCAGAGAAGGTTGTCCTTCTGGAAGGTTCTCCTCTCTCCACAGAGGAACGCTGGAGCTCTGACAAAGTGACCATGGGGTTCTTAGTCACCTCCCTGACTAAGGCCCTTCTCCCCGATCGCTCAGTTCAGAGGCCGGCTAGCCCTAGGAAGAGTCCTGGTGGTTCTTCCATTTACGGATCATGGAGGCCTCTGTGCTCATTGGGACCTTATATATACAGATGTGTGCCTTTCTGTGGGACCTTATATATACAGGTGTGTGCCTTTCTGTGGGACCTTATATATACAGGTGTGTGCCTTTCTGTGGGACCTTATATATACAGGTGTGTGCCTTTCTGTGGGACCTTATATATACAGGTGTGTGCCTTTCTGTGGGACCTTATATATACAGGTGTGTGCCTTTCTGTGGACCTTATATATACAGGTGTGTGCCTTTCTGTGGACCTTATATATACAGGTGTGTGCCTTTCTGTGGACCTTATATATACAGGTGTGTGCCTTTCTGTGGGACCTTATATATACAGGTGTGTGCCTTTCTGTGGGACCTTATATATACAGGTGTGTGCCTTTCTGTGGGACCTTATATATACAGGTGTGTGCCTTTCTGTGGACCTTATATATACAGGTGTGTGGCTTTCTGTGGACCTTATATATACAGGTGTGTGCCTTTCTGTGGACCTTATATATACAGGTGTGTGCCTTTTCTGTGGACCTTATATATACAGGTGTGTGCCTTTCTGTGGGACCTTATATATACAGGTGTGTGCCTTTCTGTAGGACCTTATATATACAGGTGTGTGCCTTTCTGTGGACCTTATATATACAGGTGTGTTCCTTTCTGTGGACCTTATATATACAGATGTGTGCCTTTCTGTGGACCTTATATATACAGGTGTGTGCCTTTCTGTGGGACCTTATATATACAGGTGTGTGCCTTTCTGTGGGACCTTATATATACAGGTGTGTGCCTTTCTGTGGGACCTTATATATACAGGTGTGTGCCTTTCTGTGGACCTTATCTATACAGGTGTGTGCCTTTCTGTGAGACTTTTTATATACAGGTGTGTGCCTTTCAATGGGACCTTATACTGTATATACAGGTGTGTGCCTTTCTTTGGGACTTTTTATATACAGGTGTGTGCCTTTCTGTGGGACCTTATATATACAGGTGTGTGCCTTTCTGTGGGACCTTATATATACAGGTGTGTGCCTTTCTGTGGGACCTTATATATACAGGTGTGTGCCTTTCTGTGGGACCTTATATATACAGGTGTGTGCCTTTCTGTGGGACCTTATATATACAGGTGTGTGCCTTTCTGTGGGACCTTATATATACAGGTGTGTGCCTTTCTGTGGGACCTTATATATACAGGTGTAAGCCTTTCTGTGGGACCTTATATATACAGGCGTGTGCCTTTCTGTGGGACCTTATATATACAGGTGTGTGCCTTTATGTGGGACCTTATATATACAGGTGTGTGCCTTTCTGTGGGACCTTATATATACAGGTGTGTGCCTTTCTGTGGGACCTTATATATACAGGTGTGTGCCTTTCTGTGGGACCTTATATATACAGGTGTGTGCCTTTCTGTGGGACCTTATATATACAGGTGTGTGCCTTTCTGTGGGACCTACAGGTGTATGCCTTTCTGTGGGACCTTATATATACAGGTGTGTGCCTTTCTGTGGGACCTTATATATACAGGTGTGTTCCTTTCTGTGGGACCTTATATATACAGGTGTGTGCCTTTCTGTGGGACCTTATATATACAGGTGTGTGCCTTTCTGTGGGACCTTATATATACAGGTGTGTGCCTTTATGTGGGACCTTATATATACAGGTGTGTGCCTTTCTGTGGGACCTTATATATACAGGTGTGTGCCTTTCTGTGGGACCTTATATATACAGGTGTTAGCCTTTCTGTGGGACCTTATATATACAGGTGTATGCCTTTCTGTGGGACCTTATATATACAGGTGTGTGCCTTTCTGTGGGACCTTATATATACAGGTGTGTTCCTTTCTGTGGGACCTTATATATACAGGTGTGTGCCTTTCTGTTGGACCTTATATATACAGGTGTGTTCCTTTCTGTGGACCTTATATATACAGATGTGTGCCTTTCTGTGGACCTTATATATACAGGTGTGTGCCTTTCTGTGGGACCTTATATATACAGGTGTATGCCTTTCTGTGGGACCTTTTATATACAGGTGTGAGCCTTTCTGTGGGACCTTATATATACAGGTGTAT